TGGTTTAAGATCCTATTTCTGCGAGAGGCTGAAACTGTAATTAAGTGAAGTTTGGTGACATGGGGCTCAGCATCGGTGACTCCATCTGGGGGACCGTTGTCTTTGACATTGGTATGCATTTAAAGATTTCTCCCCACATCACGATTGTACTGAATTTTCTAATTCATCCCATTGTATTCTGATAATTCTTTACTATAGAATCACTGAATATTTCAATGGCTGCAAAATACTAAGAGAAAGGTAGAAACAGCAATGGAGATCATTAGAAATTGTAGTGTTACTGTTACCAACCCAGGTCCTTGGACTCTTTTTAATCAGTAGGTTAATTTTTTAAAGTCCTACTAAGTATCCCAAGGCTGGAGTCTCAGGCAACGTGGACTGTGTTTGTATTTCAAGGCTTGAGTGCTTGACCTGTGCCCGGCAGAGATTCGCAGAAGCGGCTGGACAGACAAAACCACATAAAACATAGATCCTCTAAAACTCACTTTAAAGTTCAACGTGTACCAACGACAGAAACTTAAAAGACTCAGACAAGAAACAAAGAAATGGTGTCACCACGAGGTGGCCTCCTGTCAGCTGGAGTTGGGAACAGAGAACAGAAAAGTACTCGGGGGAGGGGGGGGAGCTGTGACAAAGGTGACCTAACAGGAAGTCTCCAAGATGAAACGGACGGGAGTGTAGGTATGAGGACCAAGGGAGAGGGAACGAGAGGAGGGACAGAAAACACTGAAAAAGAGAGAGAGACAGAGGTTGCCTTTCAACCTGCCCCTGCGGGTGTCTATTCAGGCACCAGTCAACCTGCATCCAGAAACCGCCAAGCACCCTGTCCACTGCCCCCTGGGGTGCCCCAGCCCCGAAACCAGCCAGCTGCACATCTCCCACCTGTGTGTCACCCGTCAAGGTGACTGCTGCCAGCCAGAGGGAGCAGGCCTCACAGCTGAGAGGAGGGATGCTGCAGCTGCCCAACGTCCACTCCCTCGGAAGGAGAGGAGAGATCAGGAGAGGGAAAGGACCAAGGGGAGGCGGAAGCAATGCCTGAGCAAGGGTGCCGAGACCCTCGGGGTGACGATGGCAGACTTACCAAACGCGGAGAAGCTGAAGCAAGAGGTCTAGGCCGCTTGGAAGCTGCGTTTGGTGGTCCCGGAGGGGCCTACATCCTCTCCTGGGGGGGGCTGTAAAAGGCCCCAAGGACTTCCCGCCAGAGTCATCACAAAGTGTAATACTGACCCGGGTCCCTGGACTCTTTAATCAATAGAAATTGATAAGCGGCCAGACGAGGAACTCAAACAAGGCTTTACTGGGGCTTGTGCTGCAGCAGGAGGGACTGGGAACAAGTAACAGGCGCTGCTCCCTAGGTGAGCGGGCAGGTCCCTTAAATGGGGTGGGGGGCGGGGGCGGGCTGATGGGAGGGGCTGGAGAGGCGGCTCAGGTGGTCTGCCCACCCCGCTGCTGGTGCCGTGTGCAGGGGGCAGGCGCAGTTCCCTGCTTTTGCTCCCGGCACCTCAGCACTGGCAGTTGGTTTGTGGCCTTTCTGTATCTTATTGCTCAGAATTGCCCCCAGCTGAGCATGCACACAGTTATTTTTAGTCCGGTGTAGATCCTCTGTATCTGCTGCTCGAGGAGCCGTTATCCAGGTGCAAGCTCTCCAGTAGAGTCCCAGGTCTCAGCCTATCACACTACTATAAAATAGCAACAAGGGCTTCCCTGTTGGCGCAGTGGTCAGGAATCAACCTGCCAATGCAGGGCACACGGGTTCAAGCCCTGGTCCAGGAAGACCCCACATGCTGCGGAGCAACTAAGCCCGTGCGCCACAACTACTGAGCCTGCGCTCTAGAACCTGTGAGCCACAACTACTGAGCCCACATGCCACAACTACTGAACCCCGTGCGCCTAGAGCCCGTGCTCCACAAGAGAAGCCACTGCAATGAGAAGCCCGTGCACCACAACGAAGAGTAGCGCCTGCTCGACGCAGCTAGAGAAAGCCCACGCGCAGCAACGACGACCCAGCACAGCCAAAAACAAACAAACAAATAAATAAATTTATAAAATAGCAACAAAAGGGAGAATTGTGAGGGTAAATAAAAATAAGATTGAACTTTCCCTTGTTATTAAAAGGAAAGAGGTCTTTTCTCCCCCCTCCTTTCTCTTAGGACTTTTCCTAGAGAAAACTATTTGTAAATTCTCCCTCTGTCAGGGGCTGCTGTAACAAAATCCACAGATGGGGCAGCTTGTAAACAACAACATTTACTTCTCATGGTTCAGGAGGTTGGAAGTCCAAGATTATGGGGCCAGCAGACACGCTATAGTGGCTGGTGAGGGCCCACTTTCTGGTGCATGGCCGGCTGGGTCCTCACACATGGAAGAGGGTAGTGGTCTCTGCAGGGTCTCTAATCTCTAACAAGGGCACTAATCCCATACACAAGGGCTGTACCCTCAAGACCTAATTATCTCCCAAAGGTCCCACCCCCTAGTCCCATCACATTGGGCGCTAGGATTTCGACATATGAACTGGGGCATGGGGTTGGGGGGGAAGGGGGCAGGGGTGATACACTTCAGCCCACGGCGGGGCTAAGGATGCAGCTTCCCTTGCGTCGTGTCACTGCCATTTTCAGTGTCACGGAGGCCTCAGAAGCAGGAACCGCAAGCTAAGTCACCAGATCTCCAACCCGGACCTTGGAGTTGGTGACCTTAGCCAGAGAGGAGAGCCACCAGCCGGGCTGCAAGGCCTCGGCACAGTCACCTGGGCTCTTGTGAACCTACAGAACCAGGGTGGGAAGCATCAGGTTTGGGACCCAGAGGCCTGTTCTCGGGATCTGGGAGGCTGTGGGGTGAAGGCTCACCTGAGCAAGGAAGTTGGCACCAGAGACCGTGTGTTCAAGTCCCGGCTCACCCCTGACTAGTTTTTTCCAATGGAGACACATCATTTCTCTGAGTTTCTGTTAAAAACGGATACTCGATGTACTGCACGGGGTGGTTTCCAGGCTTTAGGGAGATGCTGTTTGGGAAGATGCTTTGAGAGCTATAAGGCACAAGACAAGTACTACTTAATATGACTCATCTGGCCTCTGTGGCGCACTCGCCCGCCGGGCCGGTCTCCCCTTCTGTCCAAAGAGCAGGGGAAGCAACGCACTGCAGTCCCTTCCAGCGCTGGCAGGGCGTGGGGTGCGGGCTCTAGCTAGACAGCACCCTCCCGCCCCCCCCGACTCCGCTGAGGCTCCGCCACATTCCTGAGCCTGCCAGCCCCAAAGTCTGGGAGCATCTATGGCTCATGTGTCTGCCAGATGGCAAGGGAACAACCCAGAGAGATGCTTCCAGAAAACCTTTCTTGACAAACGCACAAAGTCTGGGCCCTGTCCCCACCTCTAACCCCAACCCCAGAAGTTCAACAGTCACCCTCAGTCCTCCGTCTCCACCCCACCCGTCCCCAGCCTGGCTCTGGGATTTCTCTGCGTCGTTATTTTGTCCCCAGCTTGCGGCTTCTACTGTGGACCTGTGTGTCCCAGACCACGTCCTTCTGCCTCTGTCTCCCAACATGGAGGGGAGCGTCTCAGTTTCAGCACAACTGACCCTGCGGGGGACACCATCTGGGGGATCAGGAGTTCGAGGCTCCCCTTCTGCCATCACACAGCTGGGGAGCATCAGCTGAGACTTCCCCTCCCTGGGTTTGCATCTGTAATGCTGAGACGGTGACCTGGGGTGCTTGCCCGGCTGCTAGCCCGTCGGACTGGTCCAGGCTCCTCCTGCTTTCAGCTCCCCAGCCACTCCCCATCAACCTCCACCCTCTCCTTCTGCTGGGACAGATGCCAGGTGGCAACCTCTCACAGGGTCAGCTGAGGCAGGAGAGACCAGGGGAGCAGGACCCCAAGTCCTAGTGGACAAGCCTGCACAGATAGCCAGGCCCTCAGCCTCTGGCCTGAGCCCTCCTGCCCTCGGATCCCACATCTCTGGAATTTCGGTCCCTCCTCCTGTCCACAGGTCCCCGTCATGGAGCGCCTTGGCTCCCTGCCCCTGTCCCCAAAGCCCCACGTAGGCTGATTCAGGAGATGTTTCAATAATTTACTGGGACGGTGACACTCAAGCACACACATTTTATTTTTCGTATGATGCGCCCATTAATCCTTTGCAGTTTAATAGCCTAGAAGCCTTCCTTGTGGGGCTTTCCTGTCCTCTTGGGGGCTGCATCCAGGTCTCCTGCTAACATGGACGGAGGTGTCTCCCCTAGGCTGAGGGGGGCGGGCATGTTCCATGGATGTGTCCCCCCAGGACTTTCATAGAATCTGCTATGAGGGCTGTCAATGTAGCTCAGAATGCAACTACAGGTGTTTTTCTTTGGCTTTTGACCCGTTGCTGGGATGGCATTCCACAAAGAACGTGGGCACTGACCGGGCTGGACAAAGGGCACAACCACGAGGGACACGTAAGGGAACCCCATTCCTGGTGCACATGTGGGATCCCCAGGGCTGTGGGAGAAGGGGGTGGCCCCCATCCTGCTGGGGTAGCTTTGGAAAGAGTCTTCACTCGGGGGGGTAGGCCACCGGGCACCACCCGGACTCCTTGGCTTTGCCCGGTGGCCCCTCCTGTTCCTTCCCCAGCCTCTATTCAGGGGTCCCAATCTTGAACACCTAGGTCACCCGTCCTGGGGCTGCTCCAGTCTCTGAAGGGGAGACTTCCAGAATGGCGCCCGCTCAGCCCCCCCACCATCCCGGGAAATAAGCCAGGGCGGGGAGGGTGGGCCACAATCTTGGCGAGAGACCCCGGGGCCCAGTTTATCTGGAAAGAGAGGCAGGTTAGCAGTCGTCTGCAACAGAAACAGCCCCAGACTCTGTTCAGGCTCACACTCTGCCGCCGACCCTGAGGCCTCCTCGATTCTCGGTCACCGGTCACCACCCAGATGGGGCGTTCGGCCAGGGTGGTGTGGCACACAGGGGCCCTTGGAACAGCGGCCCCCATCCCTCCCGTCCCCCCGGCAGCTCTCCTTCCCTGGAGCATCTGGCGGGCGGTCACTCCTCCTGCAGCAGGGGCGCCCGGTCCCCCTCCTGCACTCTCTCGTCCTCCTCCCTCTCCATGCAGCCCACCGTGGCCGCCAACCCGGCACCCACGCCTCCCCCGACCACAGCTGCCCCCGTGGCCCCCACTGCAGCTCCTGCGGCCACCATCCCAGCTTCTGCGGCCAGCGCCGCGGCGGCCATGCCGGCGCCCACCACGCCCCCCGCCAGGCCCATGAGCCCCGCGCCCACGGCGCCGCCCACAGCGGCCAGGTGGCCGCAGAAGCGCACGGTGTAGGAGTCCATGAAGGCCTTGGCCTCGGCCTGCAGCTCGGCCTCCAGGGCCTCTAAGGTCTGCTCCCTCCCCGTGCATAGCAAGGCCGCCCCGTGCCGAGCCAGGAGCGCGTCCTTCTGGGTCGACAGGAGGTTCCGCATGGTGTCTGGCAGCACCCGGAGCGCAGAGAATATGCGCTTGGTGGCCACGTCCTGTGATGGACGAGAAAGAAGGGGCCCTGACCTGGAGCCCCGGTGCCTCCCACCGGACGCCGGCCCCCCGCTGCCCAAAGACTGGTCCCTCTCCTGCAGGACGCCTGGCCTCCCGGAGCCCGAGGCTCACCTGCTGCCGCAAGTACTCCTCAAACTCCTTCTTGGCAGCTTCCACCGTCCGAAGGTCGTGCAGCTGGGCAGCCATCTGTCCACGGCAAAACCCGACTGCCTCCCTCCTTTCCCCCGCTGGGCGCTGCCGGATCCCCCGCTCCATCTCGGGGAACCCGGCTCGCTTCCCACCCGTGTCCACCCCGTAGCCCCATACCTCATCCGGAGAGGCGCACCCAGGCCCCGTCCTGCCCATCCAGCCCGAGAGGTTCTGCGGAGACAGCGTCGGGGGGTCAGGGGGCGAGGGGGCCAGCGGGTCTCCTGGGGCTCCGGGGAGCTTTCACACCTTGATTTCCTGAGCCAGCTGCTGCCCTGTGAGCAGGCGCTTGTCCCCCCGGGCCGCGGGGCGCCCCTCGCTCCAATAGCCCTGGCAGCGGCTCTTGGCATGCAGGGGGGCCGCGCTCAGCACATCAGCCACGTAGGCGCGGAGGTGGCCAGCATCATCATCTGTGTCTGAGGAAGAGAGTCCTCATGCAGGGGTGCTGGTAAGCAGGACCGGCTTCAGGAAGAGAAAGGGGTGTCGGGAGAGGAGGAGGGGGAGGAGGGGAGGACGAGGG